CCCTGGCAAGGCAGGAAAGGGGGGGGGGGCGATGGAGTGCCCCTCCCAAGCCACGTGCCATCGGCATTCGGAAGGTGTGCCCATGCCAATGGGGACAAGGGCCTCTACCCCACAACCCTAACCCGATGGTTATGGGGGTCTGCAGGCAGGGGGGCTTATTTGCATCGGAGTACCATTTTAATTAAGGGGGCACCCAGATCCCTGCCCCTTTTGAATGAGTAAGGGGTACTTGTACCCCATCTCATTTATTTCATTTATTAAAGGGTTTAAAGTAAATGTAAATAATAAATGTAAATAAACGCACCACACATTTTGAAAAAGTCCTTTAATTGAAAAACAAAATGGCTCCATCGATGTAATCCAGTGTAAAAAAAAAATAATAATAATTAAAAAAATATATATAAACACGCACATGCGCACACACATGCGCACACACACACACGCACACACACGCACACACACGCACACACACACACGCTGTATATCTGCAGATTACATATCTGTAATTTTCTCTGCGTTTCATTTTTTATAGATCTCTTTCTTAATTACATAACCCGACATGCTTTGCAATTCCTTCGTAGGAAATATCTAAATCAATCAGTTATAATGAGATTGTTTTGTTATAGGAATATATATGTTGGGAAATGATCTGATAAAATGTGTTTTAATTTCTGCAGAAAATAAAACACAACATTAATATTAACATTTCGCTCCCTACGGACGGCCAGGCGCAGATTACACGTAGCGGGAGATTTGCTACTTTGGTTTCTTACAACAGCTGCTCTGTAAACATACAAAATAAGACGTTGGGGATTCATAGGTCAGGAATCTGACTGCCGTGGAGATGATTTACTAAAGGAGAACGTCTCCCGCTTTGCTTCCAAGTATATCTAAAGGCAGATATTTTATTAGCTTTGATTTCTTTTCTCACTGCCGCTGACCCATTCGGGAGAGTTTCCCTTTACTTCCTGTCTCGAGATTTAAGAATTATGAAGAGATTTCTCCATGGTATGGGAAACGTCTCTATACATACCATTGAAGGCATTTTCTTATAGCTGCAAAATAATACCAGTTAAAGGAGAACTATGAGGCGGGTGATTTTCACTCAGCCTCATAATCTCAGCCGACATGTGACAATGGAACTGTCACAGGTCGGCTCAGTAGATCGGGAAGTGAGCGAACACATACCGTCGCTCGCTCACTTCTCGATCTATCCCTGCAGAGAGCAGTGACTGTCACTCACGGCTCCCTGCAGGGATTCCCCCCTCCCCTGTCCGATCCTCCAGCGCTGACTGGCGGAATGGACGGGGGAGGGGGCGGGCACAGCTGGCTCTGCCTCTGGATAGGCAGAGCCAGCTGTCAATCCCGCAGCTGGGTGGATCTCGACAGTGATGTCGGGATCCGTTCCGGCTGCGTCGTCTCGGTATACTTGCGGTATACTGAGCTTTGGGTCACGGGAGGACGCTAGTTTGTGTCCCCCCTGTTACCCTTAGGAGAACTATGGGGAAAAGCAAAAACAGGCTATAAAAAAAAAAAAATTAATGAAAGAACAAATTTTTGTTCTTGGGTTTAGATTGACTTTAATGTTAACCTGTCATGTAAAAAAAAAAAGATCCCTTTATAACATTACTTAAAGTGGTCACAAGGTATCCGCAAGCAGGTGAAGTTTTCAGTCAATCGCTTTGTGCGCCATGGAAGGGTCACTTAGGCTCAATCCTTGCTAGGGCCATGTTGGTTCCAGCCTGAAGCTTCGGCATGCCTTCCCACCGTTCCATTACAAAAGATGCCTTTCTGTTGGTGACTGAGGCTTCCTTATTGCAAAGTGGGGGCAAGCCAAGACTGCAGGTCTTAGATATAGTCCAGGCTCTTGTAAGGGGTGTGATGAAGGGAGACGTGTGGAACAGATGGAGGACAAATGTAGGAATTTTCAGGTGCCTTGTTGCATCTTCTTCAAAGGGAATAATGTTGTTAGATTATTTAAGATTTATTCACCGTAAATAGACTGAAGTAGATCTTTCACACGGTACAAAAATGGGAAAGCTGGAGCATCTAGCAAAGAAAGGTTAGGCCAGCAAATGTTGACCCTTACTGTTGTCTATGTGCAACTCAGATAACCACAAGGACTTCAACCAGAAGACCTTTCGACGGCACATTGTAATAAGGTGTCCTTAGACCTTCTCATGTCAGAATGATGAACAGCTATTGGATGGTTCCATGTCTCACTGTTACACTTTTCTTCTAGGTGAGCCGGCCAATTGTGGAAAATGCTCAGAATGTCCTGAAAATTGAATGTATGGAGTGCTGCCTGACTCTGTCTGCCAGGTAATATGGACTCAACAACGAAGGTCTTCTTTTCAGTTCCTCCACCGTGGCAGTGGGCAGTCAGCTTGAGCCCAGCAGGCCATAGATAAAGCCGTTCTTTTCTTATACTGTATCTAATAATTGCTAGGCCCTGATCCATGCCAATCTTGTGAATCCATGTAGAAGACCTGGGTCACTCAGTAAAATACCTGGGTCACTCAGTAGAACACCGGGGTCACTCCGTGGAAAACCTGGGGGCACTCAATAGAAGACCTGGGTCACTTGGTAGAAGACCTGGGTCACTTGGTAGAAGACTTTGGTCACTCGGTAGAAGACCTGGGTTACTCAGTAGAAGACCTGGGTCACTCAGTAGAAGACCTGGGGCACTTGGTAGAAGACCTGGGGCACTTGCTAGAAGACCTGGATCACTCAGTAGAAGACCTGGGTCACTCAGTAAAACACCTGGGCCACCCAGTAGAAGACCTGGGGCACTCAGTAGAAGACCTGGGCTATGTGCCCTGGGTGCCGGGATGTAGCAATGATTCTGGAGTTGCTGATTGCTATTATAGCACCAACAGTTTGTACAGCGCTTTACTGTACAGTACAGTTACAATACAATTCAAGGTGAGAAGGTTAGGAGGGCCCTGCTCATGAGAGCTTATAATCTAAAATGGAGAGATGGAGTGATAAAAATAGCTAATAACTGTGGGGTGGAGGGGGGGGGGGGGGGGGAAGCTTAAGTTTAGCTTTTAGGTAGCGGTGGGATAGGCTTTCTTGAAGAGATGAGTTCTCAGGGATCTCCCAAAGGCTGATAGCTCAACACTCAGCAAGATTTGTCCCTGAAGAAGTGACTTTATTGGCCTTGAAATGCGTTGTATAGTATTTAGCTTCTGTCATATGAAAACGTTGGGTACCTCTGCCATTGCCTCATTGAAGGTTTTGTTCCCCACTATACTATAGGCCAACCTAGCTGCCGCTGTATTCCTAGTAAGCAGATCATGACGCCCGTTCATAATTCAATCTGCACCAACTGTACAATCAAATATCGATCTCGGCATCGTCATTGTGGAAACATTTCATATGTCATCCCGCGATACGCGCATCATGTCGTCTTAATATCTCCGGCTCCGGCTTACAGACCCTTCTGCAATAATGAGAACTGTAATCCGCCCGCGGGGTCATTACTCAGCCGCTGCTCATTAAGCGGGCCAACCTGAGCCGCGCGAGCACGTGCCAGCATCCCCGACTTAGCGCGGCTTCTTCATTTGCGAAAAGGTGGAACCGATTTGCACATAACTCACCTCGCGAGCCCAAAGGACGCGTGTTAGCGGCATGCCCTGGCAGCTCGATACGTGTGATTTCTGCCTGCGAGGGCTTAATGATGCGCAGAGAGTCGCGAACCGGGGAGCATGTTTGATATTGAGCGCGCCTGTGCGCGGCATCCTCAACTCGCTGTCCTCGGCTAATGAAATTTATCAAATGGCTCCGAGGGCGGCTGTTAACCAAACCATATGTTTGACGCTAAGAAACCCCTGACAGATTCCATTAGTGTTTGCTGATTGTGAATTCGCTTTTTTCTTTTATTGCTGAGAATTTTTTTTTTCCCTCCCTGTAAAATGTAAAACTCGTCTAGAAATCTGTCAGCGTAGAAGGGTTCCGGAGCGTTTTAAAACGCATCTATCACTGCAAATTACCATTTTCTGATTGAACGGTTGTGAAACGCTTGCTGGGTGTCAGGTCTCGTTCCATTAAAGGAAAGGTATAATGGGTTAATTTCAACTTAAAGGGTTTTTTTTGGAAAATTAAAATATTTGATGGTTTCTATCATTTTTAATATAAAATATTAATTTTATGAAATAAAGCCTGTAGAGGTTTAGCGCATCCAAAAATCATATTTTCCTTACTGGTGGAGCCTGGTGGGCTCAGTTGGCCCCTGGCGGCCCCCGGCATCTAATACGTCTTGGAAACCCAACAGTGAGATCTCCCGACCTTAATTCCCGACTCTGTTCCTGTTCTTCTGGGAGGGGTTTGGGTGTTCCCGCCCATTTTTGCATCCTGGCTCCTCCTATTACATTCTCCATCATATAAAAGAGATCTAAAATCCAGTAGGGATGGTGGGTGCACGGCCAGTGCTACCACTAGGCAAACTAGGTAGCCCCTAGGGCGCACTGCTGACTAGGGTGCAGTCTAGACCACTAACCTTCCCCTCCATGGCACCCCCCGGTCTATTTCAAATCGCAAAAGCCAATAGCAGGCTGGAGTGGCTATTGTACCCGCCCACTGAGCAGAGGAGCGGAACTGAGAGACAACTTTCTCTCTCAGGTCCGCTCCTCTGCTCAGTGGGTGGAGTTTCAATAGCCAGTCTGCTATTGGCTATTTCAAATTAAAATAGCCAATAGCGGTCTGGCTATTGCTCCCGGCTGCCTACATCCACCTGTCACCTGTGGAAGCTAGCCAGCAGGAGAATGGGGCCACGCAGGGGGGATTTGGGGTTGTGCTGCGGGAGGGGTCTGGGGGTGCAAGTAGCTGGTCTTGCCTAGGGTGCAAAATAGTCTAGCACCAGCTCTGGGTGGGTGCACAAGAGACCTGGGAATTGGCGAGCGCTCATTGTCTGTACACCGTACAACGGACTTTCCAGCCCCGACAAAGGAATGCTCACAAATGGCGAGCGGTCATTGATCAGCAAGGTCAGGTGACCCACGCTGGCCAATGAGAAGAGCTTCTGAGCCGGGAACCAGGTCCTGGAAATAAGAAGAGTTTCCCAATGGTTGGCAGGGACTTCAGAGATGTAGGTGCTGTAGGGACCAGGGGAGATGGCGGGGTGCTGGGGGTAAATTAATTTTTTACAATCTGCGGGAAAGTGGACGTACCCTTTACCTCTGCGAAGCTATCACCTTCATTTCAACCTCCCCAGTGCCTCCGATAGATTTCACCAGCTTTCTCATTTTCTTGATCATGCCTGCTGTTTTAAAAACCAGTGGGTAGACTGGCCCTTTAATACAGGCTGTACCGAGGGCACGGCAGGATGCTGGGCTTACTCAGAATACTGAAAAATATCCGGGCCAGGAAGGGGGTTTAACATCCTGGTCATCAAGTGGTTAAAGAAGAACCCCACAGAGGACTCATTGCCTTGTATCTAATATGGCAGCATACTAGTGATTTTACATGAATGCGAGCTGTTTCCCGGATCAGATACTCTGGAAGGATTACAATGTAGCTCCATTGTTACGCTTGTTCCCATATTGTAAAATGTATTTAAAATCCTTGAGGACAGAAAAACAATCCCATCTAATAAACCTACTTACAATTTATGTTCACCGCCCCTTTAAAATGATTTAGCAGTGTGCGAAACCCCTAAAATCACCATAAAGACAGAAAAACATGTATTTTTCATCCAATAAATCCGCGCCGTAATGATCCTTCCAGAGCGGCGGAGCGCGTTCCACCCATAAGCCGATATATATTTATTGCTTTGATGCGTCACATCAAATCCATCGATGAATCTATCGTTTTCCCCCCGTTGCGCACAAACCAGGAAATAATTGGCTCTGCCTCCGACCATTTTTCTTTTCCCGGCGCGTTCTTCCAACGCCGAGGATAATTGTCGCCTGCCATTGTCGCCGGCGCCTTCGAAAAATGACGTTTCAAAATTGCCATTCTCGGTGACAGTGGCTTTGTCTTCGTTATCTGTAACGCGATGTGTACCCTTTGCGCGGCGATCAGATGATCTACAGCCGTCGGGGGGGGCTCAAAGGCGCGTTGAATATTTAACGCAATTTTGGTGGCGGATGCGGTTAACCGGGCACCAGTCAGCCTCCTGATTTAATATGATGAAATAGGATGTCATTGGTCCGGGGGGGCCAAGAACCAAATGATCTTGGACCCTGAGGGTCTGATGGGGTTCGATGGGGATGCGGGCAACATGGAACGAAACATTGCGCCGCCTGCAGTTTTGGCTGCGGCGGTGGCGTCGTAGCATGTAACTGACTATATAATGTCCATCTGTCTCCATAGAGATCTTTAATTTCCTCCTTTTTTATTTTTCAGCTCCTGCTCGGAGAGAGACGACTGGTTCAGCTGTATCAGCAGGACAGTGCAAGAATATTACAAAGCTCCGACTGTGTCTATCTACAACAATGTAGAGGTGAGTGTACTCTGGGGTCAAGGCAGCCTGTAGGTGTCCCTTCAGCTGCTGGGGAACCACAAGTCTCAGCATGCTAAATGGACATGCTGTGATTTGTGGTGCCCCAAAAGCCATATTGATGTTGCAGGTAGGTTGTTTCTTGATACCGAGAGCACATGTACATCTTGCATCTTTGCAAAGTGTTACTTTGTAGTTTGTCTGTGGCTGTCAGGGTCTTGCAATGCCTCATGGTACTTGAAGTTACACATAGGGTTGCCACCTGTCCAGGATTCACACGGACAGTCCGGGTGAATCCTGGACGCTGAACGCTGTGTCCGGGTTTCATGGCAGCAGAAACATGGACACAAGATGTCAGGCAGACAGGGGCAACCAAAATTAAGATAGGGGCTACTGCCCCCCCACTAAAAATTGTCTCAACTGTGATATTTACATATGAATAAGCCGAGACTCATTCTCCCAAAAAATTTCTGCACGTCGCTGGAGTGTTCGGGTTGCGCTTGAAGAAAAGGTGGCAACCCTACCCTGTTTCCCCAAAAATAAGACCTACCCCGAAAATAAGACCTAGTTGTGACCATTCCCAGGGCCGGTGGTGGCATAAGGGGGAACTTGAAGAGCCGCGGGAGAGGCAAGAGAGAATCAGCGGTGCCAGCGCTAGAGGAAGCGAGGCGGCAGCGGAGGGAGCAGAGCCACATAAGCCGATGCCTCCTCTATAGCGCCGACTCCTGCCACAGGCGTAGTGATACCAATTGCACTCCGTCTGTGAAGAAGCGATAGTGAAAGCGCGCTTCGCTCATTCTGGCCAGCGATTGTTTACCAAATTTGGAAAGGTACGGCACCCCTGATTGCCCTGATCACCATATTTTTGTACATGAATACATGTAGACTGTTGTACATGAATAAGTGCGGATTGTTGCACATTAAAAAATATAAAAATAAGACCTACCCCGAAAATAAGACCTAGTGTGTTTTTTTGAGCCAAAAAAAATATAAGACAGTGTCTTATTTTCGGGGAAACACGGTAGTTACACAACAGCTGGAGTGCTGAGGCTGCCTACCCTTGTCCTGCACCAGGAGCTGCCGCACTGAACCATCGCAGCTTGGTGCAGAACAATGGCGGCACCTAGCTGTGCGCGCCGGTAACTCCCGATCGGAGGTAATAAACAGATTTATATAGACGACTTATTCCCGCTCACTGGAGGTTCTCTATGTGGGGATTTAATATTGGTCTGGCCAGGTAGTCTATAATTGTTTGGCTGTTGGAGACCGCAGATCGCCATGATTCCAGGCAAAGCATGCTGGGAAAGGGTTGTCAGGCCATTCCTTATAAACCGAACACATATCACCGGGACAGGAAAGATCAGACATCAATGAAAGTTTTTTTTTGAAGTTCTAACTCTTCCCCACTGTACTGCAAATGTGTATTTGGGTATTATTAGTTATAAGTTTATGTTATACACCGCAAGGTGTCCCCTTTGCTAGAGACCAGGGGATTATGGGAAAGGATGCAGTTTTACAGTACATTACCAGAAAAGATGTGAAGCCAGCCTAAAGCTAGAAGCTCACAGTACTCCAACCCCTGGGACACCATCATTTTGTAATATGTCCTTGCCTATCAACAAAGCCATGTGATCACCATACCATGGTTATATTGATCAACAAAGCCATGTGATTGCCATATCCTGTTAAGATGATCAACAAAGCCATGTGATCGCCATACCATGATCATGTTGATCAACAAAGCCATGGGATCACCATACCATTGTTAGGTTGATCAACAAAGCCATGTGATCTTTATATCATGGTTAGGTTGACCTAGAAAGCCATATGATCGTCATACCATGTTATGTTGACCAACAAAGCCATGTGATCTTTATATCATGGTTAGGTTGACCAACAAAGCCATGTGATCTTCATAGCATGGTTAGGTTGACCAACAAAGCCATGTGATTGCCATGCCATTGTATGTTGACCAGTAAAGCCATGTGGTCGCCATGCCATGTTAAAGATGATCAACAAAGCCATGTGATCACCATACCATGGTCAAATGATCATGGTGCTGAGCAAATTACAGCAAACGATGAGTAAAGGGGCCGAGGGTCAATATCTGGCGGGTGTATAATGAACAAGTAACCTCAAGTCAGCAGTGCTGGGACGTTACGGGGTCCCCCTTTTAGTGGGGATTCCATGCCCCCCCCCCTTTCCGCGTCACTGCGGCCATCTTCTGAGCTTCTCCTTTGCCTATAGCAGGGTTCCGATTTGTTGGGTTTACAGCCATGTATCAGATACTTTCAGGTCTCTGCCATTCATACGAAGATCTTAGCTCGGAAAACACTTAGCGCAGACCCTCATTTTTACCAGCAAATAATGACCTAGCCCTCCCCCGCCCCCGTCCTTAAGCCTGACAAGTAAAAATTGAAACCGCCTCACAGCTGGCAATAAAATACTATTGTTATCACCGCCGCATAGTAAGAAAAAGAAAATCTTATTCCGAGTGTGAAACAATTCAACAATTAAGAAATGTAATTTTCAGTCGGGGAGGATTCCGTCTGGCCCTACTGCTGAGATTTATATTTGTGGTAAAAATAATAAAATACTTACGGCTCCACTCAACTCCCAGGCCTGGAATTAATTCCTGCGACGCAAACTCATTATATTGCTAAGATTAGCAAGCTAGCGCTCTCTGCGGGCAGTTTACCGGCTTCAAGCTGTTCATATATTATTCCACTCAAAGAGTAGAGTAAGCTGGTGGAGCGGCAGCCGGTGGAGAAACAATATACCTGGATAATCACCGCTTCTTTCTGGAAAGAGTGTAAAATCACAAAGCAACAATGGATAGCCTCGGGGAAGGGTGTTCAGAGACTATGGGCCTGATTTACTAAAGGAAATGAACAAGAGCGGGCAGAGACCGCACGTGGCACGCGTAGGGAAGCAGGCACGCGCAGTGCACGCCTTCGCTGAAAACCTAGCTGGCAGAATCGCACGCTGATCTACAATAAGTTTCCTAGTTGGCTGTGCGCATTGAAAGCCTGAATAATATGGCTTTGTGCCTTCTGTTCTGAAAAGCAATATCAACTTTTTACTTAAAGGAGAACTATGGGGTTAAGGATTTTTCAGAATGGCGCCATAGGCAAGGTAGCAGCAGCTTTGGGTTCCCATCCCTTTTGTAAGGCTCATTGCGGTACCAGGGGTCAGCTGGCAAGTTTACCGTCACCTATAGCAGCCCCCTTTCCCTTTAAGTGACCAGGCGTTCCAGTACCTGATTGCCCCAGGTCTTAAAGGAGAACTATGGGGTCAGGGCTTTTCCCCATAGTTCTCCTTAGGGTAACAGAAGGACACAAACTAGCGCCCTCCTGTCACCCAAAGCTCAGTAAATAGGGAGCTACAGCTCGCAGTATACTGAGACGCCGCAGCTGAAACGGATCCCGACAATTATGTCTGTATCCGCCAAGCTGCGTGAGTGACAGCTGGCTCTGCCTATCTAGAGGCAGAGCCAGCTGTACCCGCCCCCTCCCCCGTCCGTTCCGCCAGTCAGCGCTGGAGGATCGGAGAGGGGAGGGGGGAATCCAGTCCCTCGGTATGTGTTCGCTCACCTCCCGATCTAATGAGCCGACCTGTGACAGTCTCATTGTCACAGGTCGGCTAGAACTATGAGGTGAGTGAAAAGCACTCACCTCATAGTTCTCCTTTAAGACACAATGCCATAGTTATTAGCCAGGTGGCATAAGGAACTAAGCAAAGGAAGAGGACAATAGACATGTAAGCTGCGGAAAAATTCGGTTCGGATATTTCATTGATTCGGGATTCGGATCCGAAATTCAATTCGGTTCGGGGGTTTCGGACGAAATCCGAATTTGCGTTTCGGATGAGTTTACAAATATTCGTTGCGAATGCCACAGAAAACCCTATACAGATATTAATACTAAAGCTGAAGGTTGTATTTTGATCCTCCGGACATCCACCGGGCCGTAGGCTCCTGCCTAGGTTGCCTCGTGGATGATCAGCCTCAGTGCCAAGCAAAGCAAAGCTGCAAGTCAGTAAAAAAAATCCCTTGATGTTTTGTTTATTTGGAAGAGCCATACAGGTCTGAGCGTGATGCAGGACTTTGGTACAGATAGAGCACGGCTGCTTCCAGACTGTGTACGCAATTTGTCATCCTGTCCGGATTCTTGCTTCTTGCGCAAGACACCCCCTGAGCGTACATAGTGGCCGTGCTCTAAAATTACGTCATACCGCCACCTTGTGGTAAACGTAAAGAACAGCACATTTAGTAAATGGTCTACAGCAGTGGTTCGCAACCTATGTAACCTCAGGACCCACATTTGTCCTTGGACATTAAGCGGCGACACAAGTCGCAGTGCAATGGAATGCACGGCATTGCGGTACCATGGGTTTCCGGTGTGACCGATCCGTGCGATCCTCAGCTTGGGGTCCAGTGCTGGGCTGCTGTGCTGTGACGGAGCTCCATCCATACATACATTGCTTGTACAACTCCCTTGCACCCTGTAGAGGTGCCGGGAGCCAGAATGTGACGTCACTCCGATCCAGGCACCTCTACAGGTCACCTGAGGGAGCTGTAAGCAATTCATATATGGATGAAGCTCCCTCGCGGCCATTGCTCCAGCCCACCCCACCTCGAGCGGACACTTGGCGCCAGGCAGCATATTCTGAATGGCTGCTCAGCGCAAGAACTGATATTGCTACGCTAGGGGGAGGCTGAGGAGCCTCTCACATAGAAAAGTGAAGGGCATGCGGCGACCTACTGAAAACGGGGTCGCGACCCACTTTTGGGTCACGACCCACCAGTTGAGAACCAAGGGTCTACAGTATATCAAGGGGCTTTTTCGATATGGTGGGCTTCAAGTGTGGCCCCTGGGTATCACTGTAGTGCAGCACATAATATTCAGTGAATGTAATGCCATAGAAAGCTGTCGGGGCTCCCAGACAGCTGCCACTGTTATGTACAGAAGTCTTCACATGTATCATACAGGGATCTGATTCTTGTCTTCCAGGTGCGGGAAAGGTTGGGGATGAGCCTGGGGGAGCGGCCGCCCAGTGTGGTTCACATGTCCCACGTCATGATGTGTATGAACTGCAGCAGTGACTTCACGCTGACGCTGAGACGCCATCACTGTCACGCCTGCGGGAAGGTGAGCTCGATGTCATCGGCGGCATTTTTTACAGCAGGCCACTGCAACTGCTGGATACCGACTAGTATAAGGGGCACGCTGGGTGCATTCACTTATTCCCTGGAAATGCTTTTTAGGGTCCTGGATTATGTTAAACTCCAGGCAGACATCTTCACCTGCCAAAGGATTTATATTTCTGTCCATCCGGCCCTGAGATTTACACAGCTCTGCCATACAGCACAGCCATGTATAGCAGGGCAGGTAACCTGTTTTTGCATTTAAAGAGGAACTTTAGGAATTTGAAAAGCTAATGCTTGCAGGGGGAGCTACCCCAGCGCTGCACTGGTTGACTGCTCGTTTTGGTCACGTGATCCTCTTCTCCCCCCTTAGCTCCGGCAGTCTAAGGATGCTTGGCCCCTCCTTGGGGGAGAAGAGGCCGCTGGGGTGACTGCTCTAGCAGCCAAACGGGACTGAGGATCAGTAAGCCATATACACAGGCCCGGTACTGCCACTAGGCAAACTAGGCAGCAGCCTAGCA